TTACTAATATGTACATATAACATTATTCTTCTTTGGTAAGTATCATTTACTAATATGTACATATAACATTATTCTTCTTTGGTAAGTATCATTTACTAATATGATACTTACCAAACAAGAATAATGTTATATGTACATATTAGTAAATGATACTTACCAAATAAGAATAATGTTATATGTACATATTAGTAAATGATACTTACCAAACAAGAACAATGTTATATGTAGATATTAGTAAATGATACTTACCAAACAAGAACAATGTTATATGTACATATTAGTAAATCAAACAAGAACAATGTTATATGTACATATTAGTAAATGATACTTACCAAAGAAGAATAATGTTATATGTACATATTAGTAAACGATACTTACCAAACAAGAACAATGTTATATGTACATATTAGTAAATGATACTTACCAAAGAAGAATAATGTTATATGTAGGTTTACTAATATGTACATATAACATTGTTCTTGTTTGGTAAGTATCATTTACTAATATGTACATATAACATTATTCTTCTTTGGTAAGTATCATTTACTAATATCTACATATAACATTAAACAGGAAGAACATGAACATTATCTAACGCATGTTTGATGTTCTTAAATAACCATAAAAACATGTGGATTATTTGAAGGGGGGAAAAAAACGAATTTACCTTCATACTGGATCGTTCTTTGTCGACCCTCTCCAGGGTTCCTCTCGAATGTGATCTACTAAAGTTACGTCCTAATGACGCGTAACCTGACGAGCCGGTACTTCTCTTGTCACTTTTACGAGTATTCACGAACGCTTCGGCTTCGAGTGATAACCTGCAAAGCGCGAGAGAGAACCAAACTGAAGATAGATGCGTTTAAAAGAGAGAAATCGGACATAAATATCAAACACAAATTGCTAATATACTTAAAGACTTCAGTTTGAAGTCTCCTGGTATTCAAGTTATAATTTCAATGATGTAAGTTAGTGATGTACAGAACTTGGTATACCATAGTAAAAAAACTGTAACTTTTTTTAACCTGAGTGACACTTTACACGATACATGGGATAAACGGCCTGGTCAGAGAGACCCAAAAGCTTAGTCACTAATTTAGAACTGATGACCATAGGGAGGACAACCAGTCAGCTGCACTCATTCGTCTGTATGGCTACTATAAAACTAATAACGGCATTGACAGTTACTTTTATAACGCGCCCACAGCTGATTGTGCCGAACGTGTTCAACGGCATGTCGTGAGCTCGAACCTTGGTCCTGTAATTCCATCCTACAGTAAATTAAACTTTAAACTTATGTTTTATTTTAGGGGACTTTCTAATAAAATCTTCACCATCTTGTTGAAACCTTGGATCGATTGTGTCCGTTTTAATGTTGAACTAAACAGAGCTTGGGGCTCTGTAGCTGTGATTCTTCTAGAATTATTATACTAGGAATTAAGTTGAAAAAAATCTTAACACTGCAACTGGTTTTAGTAAACATTTCACTTCTTTCTTAACAAGAAAGCATATAAACTAATAATAAGGTGTGATTGAATTATATATCTAATGAAAAATGAACACACAACAGGGTTTAGTGTGTGTAACTTCACCCGATGCCCTCTGGTGGCTCAGCGGTAAGTTTGAGAGCTTATAACACTAACTTTGAAGTTCGATACCAGCAGTGGCACAGAGCAAACAGTCCATGGTATGGGTTTTCGCTTTAAAATAACCCCTTCAGTCGCACTCTGTTTAAAACAACAGTTGCAGATAGCTCTGGTGCTTTACGCCATAAAACAAACAACAACATCAAAACAGTAGTGACATCTATGTTCATAAGATTACAATAATTGAAACATAGTTTCTAGGACTGACAGTACCTGTACTTTTCCAAATATATGCTTATATTTTTAGATCTACAGTAGTTTGAAATAAAGAAAAAAAAATGGATATTCTGAAACATTTGTCACAAACAATGATTTTTATTTGTGTAAACATTTACGAGAACACGTTTCTAAAACATAAATTAATCTTAGCATGAAAATCACTACATTCGGAGCTGCCAACACATATTATTGTAGGAAAACTAATTTCCATTGTATTAGCAGTGGTACTAGTTAACAGCTAAAAGTAAATACTTTATAAACACAGTGATTGTTATGGGTCACATAATGTAAAAACAACAACAAAATAACAGTTTTTATTCAATGAGCATGGTTACTGTTAGCAGTTAAAAACAAACATTTCACAAACACTACCACATTTTACTGTTGTGCCGTCATTACGACCGTGAGCGGCGGCACCATTTTAGACACGTGGTTTCTAAGAGTTTACCCCTGACGTTGGACAGTGTCATTGGTAATGGTGACAATGTCCGACTAGATTGTATTTTTATTTTTCTATGCACTATACGTCTTTTTAATTGTATATAAATCTTTTATCGACATATTTTGTTTTTAACTCGCTGTATTTTTACATTTTATCCCAATTTACTTTCACTGTTTTTACCGGTTGTTTGGCGCAGATAAGCTCGTTGCTTTGCGCCATAAAACATCAAACGACCAATCAACCAACCACAAACACTATGACGGTTATAGGTCACAGATTATAGGAATAATCAGGCTCTATTCTATTCGTATTGTTGATGAATTAGAGAAAAATAACCACCCATTATGCAAATACAATTATTTCGTCAAGTCCCTTTTGCAGTCTGATTAAGTGTGGGAGTTGGTAAAGGATCAGATTAACTTTATTCTCACGTATACTAGATAACTAGTTTCGAGTTTAAAACTTCTGTTGTTTGTAGGCATCAATAATTAGAACAAGTTTCTGTTATGACCAATGAACAGCTGGAACAAGTTTCAGTACTGACCAATGAGCAGTTCGAACAAGTAACTGTTACGACCAATGAACAGCTGGAACAAGTTTCAGTAGTGACCAATGAGCAGCTAGAACAAGTATCTGTTCTGATTAATGAACAGCTTAAACAAGTATCTGTTCTGACTAATGAACAGCTAGAACAAGTATCTGTTCTGACTAATGAACAGCTAGAACAAGTTTCTGTTCTGACTAATGAACAGCTAGAACAAGTATCTGTTCTGACTAATGAACAGCTGGAACAAGTATCTGTTCTGACTAATGAACAGCTGGAACAAGTTTCTGTTCTGACTAATGAACAGCTGGAACAAGTATCTGTTCTTACTAATGAACAGCTGGAACAAGTATCTGTTCTTACTAATGAACAGCTAGAACAAGTATTTGTTCTGACTAATGAACAGCTGGAACAAGTTTTTGTACTGACCAATGAAGGCTGGAACAAGTTTCTACACCGACCATTCACAATGTGATCTAGTGAATATATCAGTTCATTACACATAAACTTTAGGAAATTTTGAGATTAGTAGTTTCTTACCTAGCTGGTTGTATAAGGTTTTCGAGTTCTGTAGTGAGGTGGCGCCGAATGATGTTTTTTGAGGCTGGGATTCCCAAAGCCGTAGCCATGGTATCGGCTGTGAAAGAAGGTTCGAGAATCACAAGAGCACCATGAACTCCACTGTCTACCAAGTTTTCTGCATATTCCTACATAAGTTCAAATGTAACATCAAGGCAAATGAATAAAAAAAGGACTGTTTATTAATCCCAATCCAAAATACTTATTCAATTAAGGTAGGATAAACACATCACGATAGAATAACCTAAAATACTACACTTTTAATACATAAAATTATGCTTTAAATGTGTTAGTTAAGGTTAAAGTAACATAAACACATCAAGAATAACCTAAAAGACCACGCTTTTAATGCATAAAACAATCCTTTAAATGTGTTAGTTAGGTTTAAAGTAGCATAAACACTCTATGTTAGAACAAGAATAACCTAAAAGACCACACTTTTAATGCATAAAACAATCCTTTAAATGTGTTAGTTAGGTTTAAAGTAGCATAAACACACTATGTTAGAACAAGAATAACCTCAAATACAACACTTTTAATGCATAAACTAATCCTGTAAATGAGTTAGTTAGGGTTTAAAATATCAATAAAAATATCATCGCTTTGTAAGATGCTAAGATATTTCAACTGTGACTAGCAATGGAATATATTAAATCTTTCTACAATTCAAAAGTGCTTACAATAGATAAGTTGAACCCTTGAAATCGTCTCTTTGAATGATTCAGATGAAACTTTCGACTTAAATGACTTCACGAGCCACCAACAATTTAATTCAAATCCCCCTCTGAAGAAGAATAGTTACTACACGTATCAATAGAATAACTAATGGTAAGCCTCACCATCAAGTCGATGCTTTTGGCCCATTTGATAAATCTCTGATTGGTCCACACCAATGGATCAACATCCATGTGTTCACAGTGTGCTCTTCGTTGCAATAACAACTGAAAAAACAGAACGAAATATGAAAAAAGTAATGTAATAGTAATATATATATATATGTGTGTGTGTGTTTATATACAAGTATATATGTCAATCTGTATTACATAGAAATAAATGGTTGTTGATGATGTTTTATGTTTTTAGGGGTAACGATCATGCCCACAACCGGGTATAGACGGTAAGTGGTTGTGTCATCTGGGACGCTTTGGGTTCCAGAAACCAAATTCTAACCCCTTATTGAATCAGTAGTTTACTTTCTAGTTTTGCATCTGCGTGTTTTGATTATGTCTGAAAGACGGAATGTCCGTTTTGAATGCTGTGGCTGCAAACATTTTCACTTAGAAATGATACCATTTATACTTTTGCTTTGTTACAACTTTGCTGACGCGATCATGTATTTGTTGACACGTACACCAATAATAATGCAATGTATTATAAATAATTAAGGCAAAGGTTAGGAAAGTTATATTAAAGCCAAATACCTTGGAAATGTCTCTTATTTCTTGTATGAAAATGGACTGGTCCAGTGTTATTAGTTAACCCTGTTATTGGCTGTCATCGAACCAATCAGAAAGTGCCACACGAGTATAAAGCCTATAAAAGTACAGACAATTATACTTTGGCCATCAGTGTATTTGTTCGTTGTTGAGCGTGAAGCTACATAATGGGTCATCTGTGTTCCGTCCATCGGGGGCATCAAAACCGAAGTTTTGAGCGTTATAAGTCCTCAGACTTACCACTGAGCCACTGGGGTGGGGGGTCACAGTACTAGTAGTGTAAATGCAATCATGGTTCCTAGGACTGAAAAACAGCATGACAAATGTGTAGAAGTCAAAGTTTTGGCTTATTAAGGATACTTCAAGTGAAAATTTGTATAAAGACTCAGTGTTTAAGTAGAAACTGTACGCAAGGCTCTGAAGAGGGCGGTGTTAATAATAGAAGTGGTTGGGATAGCCAATCAAAACCTTCTAAAGGTTATGTCAGATATCTCGTGGTATTTGCTTTACGAGATAATCAACAGTTTAGTACAAATGTTACCAACTGCCTTGCTGTAAATACAAGCAACACGATAACACTAAGATAACACATTAGCTCGAAATGGTCTCTGTGAAGATCATTAGTGAGAAGATGTGCAAGTTTCAAAATGGACCACAAAAGGAGAGGATATGAAGATGTGCAAGTTTCAAAATGGACCACAAAACGAGGTAAATGGTTTTGTGATCCATTTTCAAACTTGTACATCCTCATTTACCTCGTTTTGTGGTCCATTTTCAAACTTGTACTTCTTCATTTACCTCGTTTTGTGGTCCATTTTCAAACTTGTACATTTTGAGGGAAAATGCTTACTCTCTTTGCTGGTGAATCCAAGTTCATATTGTTAAAAATAAATAAATAAAAAACGACCTATTACTCCAGAAAACATAACTGTTTTTATCTAAGCCAACGTTTCGCCATTACGATTAAATTGTAGCAAACAAGACATTTGCTAATTTATTTCAGACTTATACAAAATATTCCAAAATAGTTTGAATCTAAGTAAGAAGAAAAATTTCATTGAGAGTTTATAAAACATTACTGTCTTACAAAATTATATTGTTGTGCAACAATAAAATCAGCTAGCAAGTGTCTTGTTTGCCCAGACGAAGCGGTAATGGTGAAATGTTGGCTTAAATAAAGACAGTTATATTTTCTGGAGTAATAGGTCGTATTTAATATTATTTTTAAACATTGAATACAACTCTCCAGTTTGCACTACAAATATTAAACTCTCGATGTCATATTATTATTGTATAGGCAACAAATAACAGCAGTTTCTGGTTCGGCAGAGAAGACAACGGCATCATAGTGAGTTTCCAGCAACCGCAGTGAAGCATGACGGGAAATCAAAACAAATTTGAGGTTAAATCTCAGTCAACAGTGTCCATGATCTACACGAATTGATGGCACCCTGATGCTGACAAATACGTGCAGATTATAATTCATCATCGCGACTTGTCGGGTGAGAATTCATCTTCCAGCAAGACAATAATTCCAAACTCACAGCAAATGTAGAGAAGCGATATATTGCAGCTCATAAATATTATGGAATACACAAGCGAAACACACACAGGTATAAAAGGAAGTGAGTAAAAGAAACCAGATTGTGGATGTACAAGTATTTTATATGTGAGCCCTTTGTTTACACCCTCGTTCATGCTGTCGTACAGTTTATTAGTGTACGATTATATAATATTATGGTCTGTATTACTCCCCACAACTTATATAATATTATGGTCTGTATTACTCCCCACAACTTATATAATATTAGGGTCTGTATTACTCCCCACAACTTAATTGATCCAAGGTCGGATTTTGATGTTCTTAGTTCTTACGTAAGCCCATACAGGAATGTTCATATTGAGATTTGTACGGGCCAAACCATAGTTATAAACGTTCCGTTGAGCCAAACCATAGTTATAAACGTTCCGTTGGCCTCAGTGTGTATCTGTGTGTATTAGCTCTTTAAGTGGTTTAAACAGGAATAAGTTTAAGATTTTCAAAACTACCAATGTATTTATTTTGATTACTCGGTCAACATTACATCAAAATTTCAAACCTGTATTACCTTCCATTCCACGGTCTAATTTTATAAACATTTTAGTGGCATCAACTTTAGACCGTAACTGATTGTTATACAGTACATTCAAAAACCGAAGCATTTAATAATCCGGTTACAAACTTAACATTTTAGTGGCATCAACTTTAGACCGTAACTGATTGTTATACGGTACATTCAAAAACCGAAGCATTTAATAATCCGGTTACAAACTTAAC